CGCAACGACGGAGGAGTAACGAGTGCGTTGCCGACCTTTTGGGTATTAGGGATTTGGAAAATTTGGGAATTAGGAAGGATTGGGCGAGAAGAAGGATTGGGCCTCCGATAACCTCACTCACACGGCGAAACACAACGTTGTGGTGGTGTACTGTGAGGCCGTGGTATCACTCCGGTCGAGCCGACTCATTCTTGGCGAAGCATGGCTCTCCCACACTTAAATAGATAATAGGGAAGAATGTGTCTCGTCCAGATTAATTATGTGTACACATCCTCACATAAAACAATTTATTTAATCCTACCTAACATTAACTCTGCACCTTTATTAATGTCCAAACATCATTAGTATCCCACATTCAAACCAAAAGCATACCAAGCAAGTATACAAAACTGAAACAAAATTAACTAAAACTCCATTCAAAAGTAGACTTTATACCGCCCACATAAGTTACAGAGTTTTATTTTAGTTCGTAGATAAAATACTCGAGTGTGGTTAGTCAAAAGTAGTCTGTATTCCGTTGGGGTAAGGTGCATTGGATTTTATTTTAGTTTTCCAAAGTTTGAACCTCAAATTGTTTTGCTCCCTTCATCAGGTATGCTACGGGGCTGGTCGGTGTAGGCTGAACGCAAAATTACTTCCTTACAAGCCGTGGCTTTAAAACTGGCGAATGTTTTGGGTTTATTGAGATCTAGTATAACTTGTGTAATATTTTTTATTACTTTTATGACTCTTATGAAACGTGATAATCATGTGGGTAAGGTTACCGGAGGCCCAATTTGCCCCGCGTACTATCGCTCTCCAATCCCTCAATCTCCAAAACCCTAATCCACAAAAGGACAGCAACGTACTCGTAACTTTCTCCTCCTTCCTCGTAACGTTGTTGCAGGTGTCCATGGGCGGAGCTGATTGATTACCATGGTAACCCGCCATCCCGTCTGTCGTCCCATCGCATAAAAAAACATGAGAAATATAGAGTTTATTCATTATACTAGCTTTTTCCCGCGACTCCGTTCGCGTGGAATAGTGACTTCCTGCAGATTTTTGGTATAAAAACTATTCTATGTCCTATGTAGCCAACTATGTCTGTACGAAATTTCACAGAAATTGGTTCAGTAGTTAGTCGTCAAGAAAATACAGACAGACAGGGTCACTTTCGCATTTCTTATATTAGTTTGGATGTTTAACGGATTATTCGCTTAATGGTTTAGTGAGATAAGTCGATCAGTTACAAGCCAAGCCACGAGCTCATATTCAGGTATCAAGTCATTCATTTTAGCCCATTGTAAAGTAAGTTGTTACTATCTCTGTCATGCAATAGCATTGAGCTTTTACAGCTCAGTAAGACTTTTAAATATAAGAAAAAAGCATAATAATAAGTCTTTGCTGAATCTAGAAACTCTTGCCCAGCTATGCGGCCTGTAATCGTCTAAATAACTCGGCTTTAAACAATAATTATTAATCTGTGGTATTTTGTGATGTACACAAAGGGTCCACATACTTACAGGGACTAAATTTTAAACAGATAATGGGGTAAAATACCACGGTTTATGGGAGGCCGTTCTGTTTCAGTTATAGTGAAGAGGGTCCGTATGTTGATTTAACTTTATGGTATCGACTTACCATCGAGTAATTTATTTTTCATGGCATTTTGCTATGTACTATCTAACATTAACAAGTATAAATTCTGAATTTTAAAGTATAATAATGTCTCAAGATCAACTGTTACCTTTGAGGTAATTTCAGCAATTACATTTTAGCATTTTTTAAGGAAGGCAGTCGCTTTAATGCTATTAGATGACCACGGCTGGGGCCCAACAAGGCTGAACGAGAAACTTTATAACCATAAAGTTTCTCGTTCGTTCTTAAGAAATCAGTTTAATAACCAGATTCTTTTGTACATCACCAAATTGGCTTTATTATAATGAGAACATTGTAATACTAATACTTACTCAAATAAACATAGGTAATAAGAAAATAATTTTGTTGTGACTCTTCTAGTTTGACGGGTGTTCATGAGCGGCGCCGATTGCAAGGTGATCCATCTGCTCTATCGTTGCCTTATCCCATAAAAGCCTCAGCCGGGGTTGCGGGGTAAGCGCAATGAGGCACCGCGACCTCGGCCCAGAGCAGGAGAAAGAACAGGGGGGTTTTTAGTCAGTAAGAGTCTGACATTCCCTCCCGCCCGGCCCTGGGCGGGAAGAAGTCCCATAAAAGCCAGTACCAAAATGGGAGAAAACATTTTTTAATTCTGCCTTGTGCTAATTATTTCATATTTAACTTCATCTATACTAATATTATAAAGAGGCAAAATTTGTAAGTTTGTATGTAAGGGGTAATCTTTGGAACCGCCGGTCGGATTGCCATAATTCATGCCAAATAAAACATCACGCTACGATTAAATGGGGCCGAGCAGCGGGTGAAACCGCGCGAGTTTAGCTAGTATCGAATAAACCTATAAGTTGGTACTAGATAAATAATATGAACCACTAACTTAATATCAAGTCTCCTATGAGGCAGCTAAGTGGGCACATGTCGATAATTTAATTATAACTTGTACGAAACTTTTGTTCCCGAGACAATTCGGTTTTGTTTGCCGATGCTTTGGTCATAACTTTATGGTGATTACATTCGTTATAATTGATCAAGTTGCTTATTGCTTCAGTTCAAATCATATTACTCGACGAAATTTGGACCTTATCAGTTGTAAATTGTCTAAATACATATATTAATAAAATAAATTGAATTTGTTTGCAAATTCTAGAACGACACTTTTTTTGTAAGTGGAAAATCTCAAATAACTTCTCCCAGCCAGGGTTTGGCAGGAGAGAGTGTCAGACTCTTACTGACTAAAAACCCCCCGATCTTTCTCCTGCTTGGAGCCGAGGCCGCGGTGCCCCATTATACTTGCCCCATAACCGCGGCCCAATCCTCGTCTCCTCATCCTGAATCCCCAAATTCTCAACTTCAATTCCCCAACCATCCACTATTAGGATTAAGAATTGGAATCCCGCCTCTTTGAAATACTACAAGTCCTGCTGTAAAAGTATTTTCTACTCTGCATCACCACATAACTTGGCTTTACAGTACAGGCCTGTGCAATTTTACAGCCTCCTAAACAGACACCAGCTTTTTGCTATGAACCTCACACAAATTATCTAAGCCATTATAATCAGTCCCTAAAGTCAACTACCAGGGAACATAATATCGTAAACACAAACAGGCCATGCCGACGTCGGTTGGAACAGTTTCCACAGGACTGTCGGCTATAAAAGTTGGAGTTGCGTCAGTGTGTGAACACAGGCTTATAAACCCGAGTTAAGGTGCTAGTAAACTGAGGTGTAACAACATTGTGTGAAAATAATAATTTATTACGAATGTGGTGTGTTTGAAAGTATGCTAGTAGAAATTTTATGTACAACACTTCATGTTACCAGTGCCTGGAAGATTTAGTCGTTTCCAATACTCAATACGCAATACTTTATTGCATGCCATAATGTGAGCATTAACACAGTTGGATAAAGAATCAATTATGGACCCTGTCGGGCACTGCAGACTGAATTTATACAATGCAACATTATTTAGAAAGATTAAATGAAATAGTACCTACAATTGTTTTTTGGGCTACTTATACATATAATAATAATTAGTCGGTATCACACAGTCTACTAAAAATTGCAAAATGAAAATGATCATTATCACAAAAAGATGCATTAGGAAGTTTCATCAAAATGTTAGAGCTACTTTTGTATGGTCACCATCGTCGAATTTTTTTTATTTTATTAAATTTATTGAAAATAAGGACTTACTTTCGTGAATTTACTTGTAAAAGCTTATTTTATTCAACCGATGCTTACCGTCAGGAAATTTAAATGCTTATTGCCGTCCTACTGCAAAAAAAACAAAAACGCGAGTAAATAGTTTTTTCTTATAAATGTTAGTTTTTTTTTTATCAAATTCTTGATTTTCAAATATTTTATAGCTCATTTTATCTTGTCTCAATAGGCCAGTATTAAAACAATCAAGTTGCTAACTAGAACCGTTGACACAGAAGTTTAAAAAATTTAAAATCTTAACACGATCGTGTATTCCACCTAGTTCCCTTGCTCAGCAGTTCAACTTCACTTAGTCTTACAAAGCAACATAGTTAGGTAAATGATACGGTATATACCAACCTACGTACAACTAACAGAAACTACTGCGGCAAAACAAAGCATTCCCTCAGAGTCATATCAAGAAATTCACTAAACACAGGCAGGTTACATCATAGTGCACAACAGATTTAACTTTAAAACGACCTAGTTAACGTAACGTTTGTTGAGATAAGGACGTGTGTACACTGTATGTTAGTGCCAAACATCTTACGCAGCATTTTCGTAAGAATCGTTTTCGCTGTGAACCTTGTGTGTAAGGATAAAATAGAGATGAAAAATTCCGATATCCTCGCTTGAATTGTAGTTTAAACTGAATTTCATACAATTTGGTCGTTTTTATTAACTTGATTCTACTATAAAAAAGCCTATTTGTTACTCCAGGATATCGCCTATCTACAAACCAAATTACAACTAAATCGGTTAATCCGTTTTTGTGTAAAACAATATCAAACATACATTCTCAAAAACTTTCACATTTATAATATTAAGTAAGATTTTTTAGATTGCAATTCTTTATATGGTAATATTATGTATAATCATTTTGTCCCTTTTTGAGCTTGTTTAATATTTAATACTTGTGATTTTGTAGTATGCACATAATGTTACGTTACTATCTAGATCAAAACTTTTAGTTTTTAAGTTAATAATATTTGATTGTAATGTGTTTTGTGCATGAAAAAAACGCCAACATACTAATCCCAATAAAAAAATAATAATACGTACCTGAACGTAATCTAAACCTTTATGCCTAATGTTTTTATAATACCTTGATACCAAAGGGCTAAAAAAGTACTTCTTTATTCTTTAAATTAGGCAATAATTGAGCAAACTTTTAAATAAACGACTTACCTTCAGGCACAGCCAAAGAAGTGAGCAAGAAGTGAACACACGCGGCTCCAGTACCATGGCCCATCAAAGTCACGTTCGTGGGGTCTCCCCCAAAGACTGCCACGTTCTCTTTGATCCAGTGGAGAGCTGCTATTTGATCCATGAGCCCGTAATTGGCTGGAGAGCGAGGGAACTCATCAGATCGAGGATTAAGGAAACCTGAGAACAAAAAATATGAAAATTACTTCAGAGTACAATATAAAATTATGTACTTGAAGCAGTCAGTAGGGCAGTCAAGAAAGATATCAAGTTTTCCCACGTCCCAATTTTGTAGTTGGTAAGTGCAATAGTATCTTAGCGGACCCCTTCTCCAAATTAGCTAAAGTAATTATAGGATATAGATAGATATTAAGCTTAGTTAGTAAAATGTAAATGTTTTCCGATGAGGTTGGCATAATAACTGCGTGATTAAACCCTCTTTAATAAACACAGAATTAAAAAAAAAGCAGTCGGTACATAATAATATGTAGGTTGTCCTTGAAAAGTTACTTTAAAAGTATTATTATCTTTTTATAATAACTATCGTGAGACATACTAAATTAACTAAAAATCGCAGGTTACTCACGTTTATATATTGAGAAAAGCTGTACTAGTTTCGAACCACCTCTGTGGTTCGAAACTAGTCGAAGTGCGCAGACGCGGCGACGACGTCGCGCAGCCTACTGTACGAAACTAGTAGAGCTTTTCTCAATATAATATACACGTGAGTAACCCGCAATTTTTAGTTAATTAAGTATTATTATCAGCGTTTGTTTCTGTTTCATTACAAAGTGACATAAAATAAACATAATAATATAAAAAGGGTGTTAAAATGATACATATTTTTGCCAGACACATCAAAACTATTGAATGAACAATAACTGTTTCCTATACCGTGTAAGTATGTATAACAATCGTATACTTGTTATTTTTAAGCCAAAGAAACGAGTGCCTGTAGTCCTTCTTAAAGTATCGATAACACACTATAACTTTAAGTATTGCGAGTGACCGTGGGCGGTGTTGATCACATTCGTGGTCATGCATTTGCTCCTTAGTATCTTACTTGCACAAAAAATACTTAAATATAAAAACAACAAAACTGATTTACTGAATACACATGTTGGGTGCCAATCCAACAATTAATAAATAGTAGAAACTTGTATGGTAAAATATGGTATATTGGTTAAAATGGTAATGGCTAATGGTATGAGCAAACGCGGCTTGGTTGGTGACCGAACGTTAACTAACTTTACAATAATGTTAATATTAACACTGAATGTTTGGGTCAGTGTGGAACTGCTGACTGCGCATTGGCATCAGTAAACTGTACTTTGTACAACATACATTCACGGTACAGAAAAAAGTTATAGTGTACCTAATTCAACATTTTTTTTTTTTTCAAGTTTGAGTTTAGTGGAATACAATGTTTTGAATGTATAATAAACCTGTTCGTATGGATATTGGAAATTTATTTAATTTTCAATAACATTTTCAGCGTTATATTTTATACTGAAAAATCTTTTGCCTACAACATTTTTGTACGATATCGTCACTTCAAATTGATTAAATTTAACCTCATCACACACGTTTTGATAGCATTTCAAAAATATGTTCACATTTTTTTATTAAAGTATTTTTTGTGAAAATAAAATTGGATTTCTGTGGCATATACTCGCAAATGGATCATAAGCTGAATTTCACAATCGGCCTTTTTCATGAATATATATAAAAAAGAAAATGTAATTATTCTTGAAAAGGCTACACTGTTGTTTTCCATCACTTTAAAAATAAATACGCTAACGAATTCATTTAAAACGTAAATAATGCGAGTGTTTCAATCAAATGAAAATCGTGGAAAATTTTCACGGAAAAGGAAATTGATTTATTCGTCTTAAACACAAAGTCATAACATTAAAAACTGTGAAATCTTCCATCTGAACTTGGCAAAAAGAAAACATTTTCATTAAAAATATAAGAATGAATAATTAATTACATAAAAGAATTTGTTTCTTTAATTAAAATGTGGGTAGTCGCTATTTTGTTTGGCATTTAACGAGGGAAGAAATCTTAACACGACGAGGAAACATTTAGGATGCTTTTGTTAAACTTTTATTGCGTAACTTAGTTACGTTTTCTGTAGAATATGAATATTTTTCTTATTTTCTATGTAAATAACAAAGAAAATCTTGTTATCTTATTAACTTACTTAAGGTTATCTCGGTTTTGTAACGAATACATTAACAGACTAAAAGGAATTTTATACATCGTCGGAATTACGTGGTCTGTTCACAACATACTCTATATTTATTTCAATGAAGGATTAGGGTAGGCGTATAATTACACAATGACGTCATAAATAACCGGTACAAACTATTCAACCCTAGCGGCGAACCTTCGGGCATAATAAACATAACAATTATGTTCAATTCCAAGTTGAAGACAAAAGGAGCAAGAAACTAGTGGAAGTGTCCAACAGACGGGACGGTACAAAACTGGCAAGTAATTACTCGTTTCCAGAATTAGTCTTTGTTTAAACACTTGAACAACAAACATTTTGTGACGTTCAAGTATTTATTGAAACAAATGAGTTCATTTCGAGTTTATCGATCCGTCTGTCTCTCTGCTTGAGATCGTCCTTCTGTAACATTTCTCTGGACTTTCAACTATAATTGACTTGTGTCTTGGATAGATGTTTATATTATTAAGACATTTGAATTGATTTTGGTCTATAAATAGAAATCCTTTAGCAGACATTGATATCCATTCTGACAGCAGTTCAAGGTCATTAGACTATAAGGTTTGGGCAGCACCAGAAATTTTTATTTCCCAAAATTGCTGAACCTAATTATATATCGCCGCAGTTAATAAACCGCAAACTAAGCCCAAATGGATACACTTAGACCATTTACCTTTAGAGCAACTCACGTTTGATCAGGTTGGAAGTCCAGAATGACAAGCTTAAAAGCGACCAAAGGAATCGCATTCACTTCGCCTCGCCTCGCTTCGGAATCCGATGCTAGGATCATTTGTCACGATAGAGTCACGACACGCAAACGCGTGTTGTTTCTGTTTTTCTAGAACGCTGTGTATTATTGCTACATTTTTTTTACAATCGGATATGTTGATTCACGCAATGAATCATGGATTTTTGCTGTTATGCCGGCAAACATTAGTAAGCGGTCTCAATTGAGACAAACACGTGATACAGTAGTTACTTTTAATTTAGGAGCTATGCTTTATTTTTAGTGTCAATGAACCCTTTAATCTATTTTAATATTTTACACGTCTTTGTAAAGTAACATAATGATTTGTTTGCGCGAAGTGCTTTGTAGCTTGGTACTAATCGAGGTCCTTGCCAAACAGTGACTTAAATAAGCCGTTCAATACAATAATTTGTTTGACATCCGAATAAGACAGAATGTTTTTACCCACGACCTTGGTAAAAACTTTTTATATAAATATAAAAATTTGTATAGAAAAATCACGAAGAACGTAATAACGAAAACTTTATTTACAACTCATAAATCCTTAATATTCCCAATAAACATTTCAACTTTATTGAAGCAAAATCGAAAACTTTCTAGTCTGCAACACTAAAGTGAACTTGCGTCTTGTTTATTATGTTTGCGCCATAAAATCTACGAAGCAGCGATAACCATAACGTCTGAGTTAAACGCAAACAATTATGATAGCCTTTATCGACTTAAAATAGATTTTGGCCACGGGGCCTATTGTGTTGGGGTTAAAATTTGCCTAGTTTTGAATAACATTGAATATTGATGAGTTTAGAAATAACTGTCTCTAGGTTTATTAGTATAGCTTCGGGTTAAGGGTAGCGTTAAGTTGTAACTTTTACATTTATTTTTTTTAAAAAACGTTGCCCCACTCTTTGATTTTCTCTTGTGCCGTGGGTGCGTTTACAAACATTCTATTTCACATACACATCACACCCAGACCTGGAACAACAATCAGTGGATCATACAAAGGGATGTTCCGTGCAAGAATCGAACCCGCGGTACGTTGCGCGGAAGGCAGTTGCCCTGCCACCGAGCCAACCGTGCAGTAAACATTAATGCTGTATTATACATAGCATTTTACCTAGATATTTCTGACGAATTAGTTTGAAAATTTCAGGTTCTTTCTTTGTCAATAATTTTCAATTCAAAGCACATCTTGAGGATAATTATATGTGAAACATCATAAGTACCAAAGACTTTGAGAGTCACAAATAAAATACGGGTTAGTAAAATTTAATTAGTTAGCCGTATAATCTGCATAGTTGAAATCCTTTGAAGAGCGAGCTAATCCAAATGGCAGTACGAATGGGTTTATAAGCGGGCCCTCAGTATGAAACTTAAGAAATTCTTGAAATTGTAGGCTCCAGGTTTTACAATGCTCGAGTCGTGGGTGTTCCGTCTGCGAGAAGTACCTACATTGTTGTAAAATGTCACAGGTAAAGTTGGAATACACCTACGTTATGTCAAATCGAATCACAAACCCTCAACAAAGGCTTTGTTCATAAAAGTTTTTAGCCCTTCACGAGTACGCACCCAATCATCCAAATTCGTGGAGCGAAAACTTCTGATATTAGTTTGATACGATTTCCAATGTGCTATAGGTATAGGTAGCCTGGTTATAGATGTCAGCAATTTCCTTTAATTTAAAAGTTTTAATTATATCTGGTCTTAAATTAATCAGATAAAAGAAAGTCTAGATATTCGACGGGATAGTTTGAATTCGACACAATAGTTTTAATTAAGATTTAAGTGTGCCATGCTTTTGCAGAAATTAGTTGGCTCGACTGAAATGACACCACGGCCTCACAGAAAACCGGCGTGAAACAACCATACCGTCAAGGTCACCGGGGACCCGGAATTTCTTCAACTCCCCCGAATCCTTCCCAAATCCGAAAATCTCCGAAACCCTAATCCCAAAAACGAAAATCCTTTGGTGTTACGGGTATCCATGCCGATTGCTCAAGCTAGCAAGTAAGCTCGTTTGCCGTTACCACTTCGAAATTTGATATGTGGTATTGGATTAACACACACTTGCGCTGCTTTTTATCAATATAACACAAGAGCGAAGCTGCGAGTTATACGCGGAACTTAGTTTTATAATAATTATAATACAACTGAAAATAAAAGTGAGGTGCTATGTAACCTTATATTTACTTCTTTTGTTTACCAGTCCAGAAAAGTAATTTAAGTAGAATTTGTAATAGGTACTTATGTAAACTCTTCATCTATTCTTTACCGGCTTTACGTAGAAACCCCTTCCAAGTTATTTCTGTATAAAATGTAAAACTTGGCAACAATGTGACAAGTTCCCCCCTTTTTGTGCTGCTACAAAAGCACGGTAGGGGGCGCTGACTTCGTTTAAATCTTACGAGGAAACATTTTGAAAATCCTTTTAGATGAAGAGCGAGATAGATGCATTTTCTTGCGTAGATTCAATATGAAAGGAATCGCTTTTAAAATTAAGGTCAATTTTGCTTTGAAATATAACGAGGGCAAATTTGTTTTTTATCCTACTATGCTACATACTAGCGACTTGCTCCGGCTTCCCCCGGCTGCAATACTGATATAAAATGTCTCCTCTATTTAATAGCTTTAATTATATGTTCATGTAAACCTTCCTCTTCAATTGCTCTATTTAAAAACCTCATCAAATTAAGATGCGTAGTTTTATAGATTTAAGCATACATAGGGATATAGAGACAGCGAAAGCTATTAAAGAAAAAAGTTATTAATAACTAAGAATGCAAATTATATCAACTATTACAACAAAAGCTAGCGATGTGATTATTAGAAGAAGAACCGATAGGCTGGTGTTGATAAATACAATTAACTGAATAATAATATTAGTAATTAATAAAATACTGTAGTATTTATAGAGAACTGTTACAAAATTATCTTGGGATTTCATATATTTGGCCACCACCCTTAATTACTCTGTCCTCAGATGTGGTATGAGCTGACTCAGAGGCTAAGTACTCAATTGGCAGAGACCTAATAGCGCTGCTCTTTGATGACCTTGACCGTATAAAATGCGACCTATAAAAATAGGGATGAAATGTAAAGGTCATTGTGTCACCTCTGGTTCACAATATAATATTTAGACAAATATTATAACAATTAACATCTTTCTTATTATCAGTAAATATTCTATGAAATAAAATACTTTTTTCTTTCAAAATAAATTAAGCAATAACGTAATGACTATACTTAAGTCTAGACTTAATTTTCACCCACAATTTTATTACAAAATATTATCTAAACGTAATTACGAGGTGTTTATTTAATTAAAGGGGACTAAGGATGATTTGGAGAAAATTTTATTTAATTTCTTTGAAAAAACTTCACTGGAATTTGTTTATCTATGTTTACATACGATTAAGTTTTTGTAAAGGACTATCGTGATACATGTAAAATTTATTGAGTATAAAGATAACTCATGTCAATTCACAGAGAAAGTCTCTGCTAGTTTCAAGTCTTACTTATTATAATGGAGGTCGTCATTTAGATGAATCTAAGAAGTCGCTATTTTTAACAATAAACACAATTTATTTGTTTATTCATATAATTTTTGGGCGCCGTCTAAAAATAAACATTGTCACTTTATAGATTCACTGTTGCATTCAGAGAAGTTAAAATATAGTAAGTTTTAGAAAATAATTAGACATTCCTAATTATAAGTATATAAGGATAGGATAAGTAAAGGTTAAGTGACCGTTAATTGACTCTAAAACAGTACGCTATGATAGTGAAAGATGCTATATTCTTCTAAACTTCAAATCTCAAAACTTAAAAACTAAATAAACAAAGCAACTTGAACGATTTGTTTCAACAAAAAAGAAACAACTTATTAACTAACAAAATAAAGAAAGAACACTTAAAAGTTTTTGCAAACACTACGTCAAGAATATTACAAGTCATATTCTCTAAGTTTACACTCATTCATATCACCACAAAACGACTTTTTCAACCAACTCACGAACAACATTCAGCAAAATTTTCACAATAAAAAATCAAATCAAATCAAAACTTCTAATTACTTACGCTGGCAAGCACCTGTTTGCATGCCACACCGCAATGTATTTAAATAAAGACGTTAATGTAATTTCCATGGAGGTTAAATTGCATTGTGTCAAAAATATGTTTAGGTCAACGACCGTAAAGCTTGAATCGGTTATTGACCTCAGTGATATGCAACAAAAGAAAATATGTGGAAAAATACACGACGAATTCGTTTGTCATGCAATGTGTGAAAAATTGTTGCGATCAAAATGAAGTCTCTAATGTCTTTTGAAAATTGTGTTTGTCTAGGAGTTGTAAATTATTGGCCTTCATAGAATCGTACAAAAATATCGTAGGTTGCAAATCTAACTGTAGACTATAAAGTAAGAAGTCTGGAATGTCATCCTGGGTTGGACAAAGTATTTTTCATTTTGGACCTGTGCCTAGTTTTCCCAGTAACGCGGATGCTAGACTAATTAATTGATTGGATGGCCCCTACTAAAATAAATATTGTTGATATTGTCATTGTTTGGTTTCTGTTATTAAGACTGTTTATTTCATGGCACTAAGAAAATCAAAATATTCTGCTTGAATTTACTTTGCCTAAATCAGGATCTAAGTGTGGGAGTTCCGTGCTTCGGCACGAATTGGTTTTGTTTCGCTGTGGCTGAGGTTATTGGAGGCCCAATCGTCCCCCTCCCCCAATCCGTAAATCCCCAAGAGGCGGACAACGCACTTGCAATATATATTAAAATAAAAAAAATAGAATAACGATCAAATTGGAGTTGAATTTGTAATCACCAGCTCAACGTCCAAAACAAAATTCGAATCATTTCCTTCTATCCTACAGCACAGTTAGATCATCATAATCAACCCTAAAATTAATGCAACGGTCTCAACTACCACAGACATTAACATCAGAGCTAAAATACAAAGAGAAATCCGACTGTGGTGGGTTATTGTCTGTATTTATCAGCAATATCCTTTTAACAACCAGTCTTATCATCAGTTTGTCGGCCATGACACTTCACATTGCGAATAAACTCAGAATAATGTAGAAATAAAGTCGGATCGTCTTGTAAAATGGAATATAATCTTTTTGAGACAATGATTTCGAGAATAGAAAGGACTTTGGCAAACTCTTGTTTTCTTAAGTAGCTAATGTAAATGTGGAGTTCGTTTTCGTATTTTTAGGGTTAAATAAGTTATGTGGAAACGGTACGTCACTGTTTGGATATACTTTTTGTTCGTGTTGGTTTCTTCGAACGTGAACTGCTCATGAAAACTTTTGTGGTGCCTACTTTTTTTAAAGAACAAAGTTTACTTAAATTCTCAATTTCGATCGTAACACACGAGATCTTAATTCTTAAATGACATGAATTATTATGTTAAAATTTTACTTTTATAATGAAAATAGGAATTTTCCTTTACGAAATTTCTAATAACATCAAATCAAATTTCTATAACTTTCAATCAATACGAATGTCTATTTAATGCCACGCTTACAACGAAGTTCCAAATCCTCATTCCTTCTCCGTGTGAGAAGAGAAGAGTGGTCACAAAATTGTAATGCTGAGTAAACCATAAAAAAATTGGTTGGTTAGTTAAATTTTATTACTTCATCCACATAATAAATTGTGACAGATTAACGACATCATAATGAGGATAAGACTTTATTCAAAGTATCTTAAGGCGAAATTGGTATGCAATTAGCATTGCTACGGAGCTCAGAGTTTCGGTAAAGCCTCAGCACTGGCCGCCTTTGTTGTGACAATCTTATTCAAGGCTTTAATTAACAGAGTCGAACGACGCCTTCTCCTTAGTCAAGAAATCTGTATAATTTGTTGCATTTTAAGAAATAAGCTGCGAATAAGGATTCATTGTTTTCAGACAGTCAGTTTAAAAATCGCAAAATACAGAACACGTGCTTTGATAAAGATTTGGTCTATGATTGATTTAAGAAAAAAAGTTAGACCAGTAAATTGTGTTTTAACAATAAACCTTCACGATTTTTGATTGTACGTAACGCAGATACATTTTAAAATCGAAGATTATAAGCTTCGAAGAATTTAGAAGTACCTAGCAACTCTGTACTCGTGTCTTAATCGATGGTCAACATAAGAGGGCATGAGTGTCCTACTGTCCGACCCAAACCCAACCCTTAACTTACCATAGAGAGCCTCTTTACCCTACTTATTATTCAAACATTTCACTTACCCCAAAACCTGCACTTAATAGTGTCAACCTTCAAGTCCACGTGTCCATACCGAACACAGAAACCTCTGATATATACCTAAAATATTGTACAAAAAAAAACTAAACAATTCTCTATGTTAAATTTCAACGTCCGTTCAGATTGAAACTTAATAATTCATTCAAGGTTTTTCAGTCACAGACGGAAAGTTTCTAATTAAAGAATACAGAAATAATTTGTAAATCGATATTCCAAATTCGAATCAATGGGCTGTTCTACCGTTTGAAAGCCAGCAAATAATTTACAGTCGGTTTGTCTTTACTATCTTAGTAGCCATAGACCATTTTATAGACCCTCAATCTATAAATATAAATTAGAATAGTACAACATAATTTATGTTTTTGTATAGTACATACCAGCTTATCTTGAGACATATTACAATTATGAAAATAAGTCACGTTTCTTAATTGAAATGAAAAAAGCTGCGATTTCAAGTGACAATGATGCAGCACACAGCACATCGTAAAACTCTGGCATGAATAGAAGTTTTTGGCATCCTTACGTTTTCTCAATCGCCACAAGTCGGCTGAATGTCAGTGATTTACATATATGTACCATACTCTCCACAAAACATAAAACCAGTATTTTCGTTGTTAAGATGAACTTATACCTAATAGGTTCAAAGTGATAATCAATTGTCAAAGTGATATTTCAAAGTGAAAATAATAATTAGTAAAAATTAACATTTCTTACCTAATATTCCGAGTCTGTAGTTGATTGTGACAACGACGAGTCCAGCGTGCGACGCCAGGACTGTGCCGTCGTATGGGTTGCCAGAACTCCACTCGTAGCTCTCTCCGTGAACGAAGACTAGGACTGGGTAGCGCGCAACTGCGTCTCTTACACCTGCTGGAAGAATTTTTCAAGTTAGAGGAGTCTACCATATCAAGATTTAGATCTAAACCATTTCAATGTCATAATTTTCGTTGTATACGTAACGTGACTAATTTGTCTGTGCTCCTTTGGAATAGAAGTGAAAATGGATTTAGAATCTAACTAATTGAAAATCAAATCCAAGAATCTTTGCCTATACTGCAACAAACGAGACAATCCAGCCAATCCCATATCCATCTAAATTTAGTACCACACAGTTAATTTACCAAAATATTCATTTTTTTATAATTTAAAAATGTTGCCCTACACTAGGTTTTTCTCTTGTGTTGTAAGTGCGTTTACAAACATTCAATTTCACGTACACAAGACATCCAGACCCAAAACAATAATTTCTGGATCCCACAAATTGTTGTACCGTGCAGGAATCGAACCCGCGACACGTTGCACGGCAGCCAGTTACCCAGCCACCGCACAAACCGTGCAGTCTATATAATACTCTGATACATATTAATAAATACCACAACAAAACTTCTCGGAACAAATAGTATTTAATCAGTAATAAAGAAAGAACGATAACAGATAATCAGCAAACTTGTCGAAGTGAGCAATATAGAGGGGTCGTAACCGAACTAATACATCCCACAAGAAGGACAGACAAGATATGTTATACCTATACGTTATTTTTATGAGCGTCTAGAAACCAATAAATGTAATAATGATAGCTTTCACGATGGTTATAGATGGTATACCCATTGAAGTGCAGAATATGTAGTTAAAAATAATATATTTCTATTCCAAAGATAGTATTTTATTATAACAAAGAAAAACGAAAAAGACAAGAAATTATAATGTCTATAAAAAGAGTTAAAACTTCGGTAGCAAAATAAATTATGAAATGAAATAGAGACCCAATATTATGACCCAAATGTAGAATGGTAAGATAGCTACATATTAACCAAAGGGCATGGAAGGACCCATCTATAACGAGAAATAACTAAAAGTCATCAATAAGAAGATTGTACGCAGTTAAATGGCAAATAAACTAGCAATTAGAAAAATAATGATATAATGTATAAACAAACGATTCAATTAATGAAGAAAATAGAGACAAAATTTAATTATTCCATTTTGAAATCCTTAACGAAATCCCTCATCCGAAATTGGAAGATGATAAACACAAACAAAACGATAGTGAATCATTACTATCAATCCCATTCAATGATAATGTACCAACCAGTCACAACTTATGCAAAATTGTGACCTTTTAACCCAACATATTACTTACTGCTACTCTGTACCTTGTATCTTGGAATGATGCCAACACACTTAGTGTTAAAATTTGGCGTTCAGCTCACCCCACAAAGATAAAAATGCGAGAAAATGCTGGTACCTACTTTACTTTTAAAAGTCGATAGCGTACTGCTTGCTAAAACCATAAGTACGTATAGAAGATTTAAGAGCTCCCACACAGGGTGTAGTGAAAGAATCCCTAACCTAGTTAGCCTATTTTTCCTCGGATGACCTTATTCGTTTTTTCTTTATTTTCAAGTTCTTTTGTCACTTTTCAATCGAGTGGAATGAAGACGACTCCGGTTTTATGCAGGCGTAATAAGGACTGGTTTTCAATGGCACGTGATATTTAATCAGAGACAGTAGTATCCCACATCGAATAGTTGATGTGGAATACTTTTGCACAAGGAAATAATTATGCAAATAAAATTTAAATACTAAGGATTTCTAAAAGGTTTTAAGAGTTACGCTAAAATTTGCATTAGACTTGAGAACTATTGTAATATAAAAAGTCATTAAAACTGGGTTTCACAAAGGTCTCCAAAACCGATCGTCATATTGATTAAGGGGAAGTACATCTTTTGATTGAATTGAACAGGCATGAATTGCTGAGACTGTTAAAAAGCTTTGTCCTTCCTACAAAAGAGGAAGAAAAAACATTTTTTTCCACATAAAAATTCAAACAATTTGAACAATACCGAACACTCGCTATCTCGCATCTTTCCATTCAGATTGTTGGATGGAAACAAAAAAAGGATAGCTGTCTATCGGATTCGACGGGAATTTTCAGTAAAGGTTCGAGATATCTCGCCCGTCCTCCCGGCATCCCCCACTTCGTCTTATCTGAGCCATGATGGATCGGGAAGAAAAGGATAAATCAAGTTTTTGTTGGAAGTTCGATGTGTGGTGCAAGACTAGAGTTGGGAGCTTGTCTGATAGTTTTTGTTGGTCACATTATTATTTACAGTACTTTACTAGGACTCATTCAATGCAATTGATTTTGAAAAATTTACCTCAATACAAACAGAAATACGAATGTAACAGTTCTTGCAAGGTATTTGAAAGAACAATGTGTATTGTACTCAAATCACTAATTTTATTAATAAACTAGCTCATGTTATTGAAAACAAAACGGATCATGAGAATTTATAGGTTCACACTAAAAGTCGAAAAATTAAATTTGTAAAGTCCCGTTGTTATCTACAGGCGTTATAATTTATTATGAACCTCTAGAATAACTAAGGTAATTATCAGCAAACACGTCTGAGTCGCACGTGTCCATCCAAATTTACTTTATGTACCAACAATTACCACGTCATCCTGCATACGAGCAGTTTATTACTTAGACCATTATACTTGGGTCTTTCATAAACACTGGTCGGGAACATCGAGGCTATCTTGCAAATCTGCACGGTAATAAGGGTAGAAAGGGATAGACATAGACATACGTTCGTGCGATCTCATCCTGTAACACGTAGCGCTAACGATGTCAAAAAAATCGCTTATGGTTATGAATAACGTGAGGAAAACGTTAAATTTATCGATAAGCCTGTTTTTATAGGAAATGTTATGCTCAATTTTTTTGAGGTTTTCGGTAAATATTTTGGCAAGCGTAATTGTGATTATACCGAATTATTTTTTAGTTAAACGTATTGACGTGTTTTAAAATGTAACTAGTGATAACTGAATGTCTTTTTCAAATATTGTTTCAAGCAAAATCTTTAATAGGGCTATAAAATTATAACACCTTAAACAATTTGCTACATTTTCTCACGATACATCATATTCTTCTCATCGATTGTAATACAATTCACAAAATCGATGTGTTGTAAGTCAATCCACTGTTGGATATAAATCAAATCCAGGATTCCGTAGCAATAAATCTATATTTGGGTCACCATTTACTTGTTCCCATCGTGTTTTATTCACTTGATGATATAAGAAGCGCTTCTAATAAAAAATCGTGGATCGAAGATATAGAGTTTGACTTTGGTATTTAATATTGTTGACGTTTTTTGTTCGAGCTCTTTATAAAAAGGTTGAGTAAATTTTAAGAAGTGGGTGATGCGGAAATTCCGGATGAGTGATCTCCGAAACTATTTGTGAGGAAAAAATATGAAATTGTCCCTGATAAGTCTGTGGGTTATTGTCAATTTTATGTGACCGTTATGTAACTATAAAAATATATTACAACTACATCTGTACCACTTTTAATAGGAGAACATTCTTAGAAATATTCTATCTCAGTTCTAAGTCAAAATCTAAAACATGACGGACTCGTATGCTTTTTGATCTTTAAAAATTAGGTGATACCATTCCCCGGTTACGTTTTGAGCAACAGAGAAATTTCTCAGGGGGTTTTTATTTTATAAAGAAATATTCTTATGAATTTTCTTCTTGACAGCTGTCTGAAATTCAAAGAATGTTACGAAATAAGAGAAGGCAATATTTTTATTTACAAGATCGTTCTTTGAAAAAGTACACTTAAGCTTTTTTACCAAAACGGCATAAGGCTTTTGTTAAGATATACAAAAATCTAGATAAACTTTCTAGTCTCGATCAAACAAAGGTCTTTGGGGAGCAGCATGAAAAAAACGTGAGCTTCTAAACATGAATAAAGAAAAATTTATCCTCAAAAGCGATAGCAGCGCCACCGACATTTGCGTTAGCTCTCTAGGGATCTTTTCTGGTTATATCGAGTAAATTTAAGTCTCCACTTAAAGATAATGTATGCTCATGGTTGGTATTGTTGCTGTTTAAAATGTCATTCTTTTTTTTACATCTATTTTAGTTTCAACTGTCTCCTAACTTATGTATTTGACGTAAAAACCAAAACATAATATTTTTTGTATATAGTAAATAAAGCCCCAATGTCTTTGAATCTTTTTCACATTTAGTAATGCAAATATTGCCAATTTTCTAAGCTCATTCTCTTTTATCGCACAAAACAACCAATTAGGTTAAATCTAATCTCTAAATAGAATAACAAGATAATCTAGCAACGAGGTTGTAGCAAAAAACTGATTTGACAGCCGTGTGAAGTCATGGATTTATACTGGGAAAGTTGATTTATGCCCCCACAGCGATCCATCAGAGAATAACCGATAGTGTTGGCGGTTTATGAAGCACGAGATCTACTTACAATGATGTATAGTGTTGTTACGTTTTTCTGCTCCACAGAATTTTTGTTGTGTAGGCGTTTTGTTTTATGCTCTGAAGTTTCAATTTAGCTTGAAATATTTTACTTGTGGTGGCAAAACAAAGTGATAGACTGTATTTTTTTTTAATGGCGTAAGTATAACTGGTGAATAATATATCTAAGATAGTGGGTAAGTATGCATAATTTACCTCGTTCTTTGAATAAATTCATCATACGTTCCAATAATTCAATTAAACCAAATTTGAGAGTAAGTCTCGAAACCACATGACATCTCCTACTAAAACTAAGCAAAAGGTTCAGAATCCTTCATTAAATCACAAACCACTGCGGACTCACGCAGGAAAATCTTCTACTTTATACTTTTCCCGTTCCTTTCAGAATCAGTGTATGTAAACAAGTTACGTAGAATTTATTATTATATGTTTTTCCTGAACCAAGATATTGTGACATCATATTGATACTATCTGAACTTTTCTGACATGGAGTTTCGTATAAGTAAATCGAACGTGTGCTAATCTAGAAGATACAAATACACACATCACAAATGCAGTTTTTCTTTGCGAAATTAAATCGCTTTATGGCTAAATCTAGACTGCCCGATGCACCAAACAGCTGCCGTGTAATGAGTGCTCTTCTTCGTGCAATACAGGAGAAAGTTCTAGTGTAAGTCTAAAAAACTGTCAAACATACAGAGTTATCCTTCTTTCTTTACAAATGTTATGAGTAATAAGCTTCGATCGAGTGAATTGCTGAATATTTAAAGTCAATGTTGGAGAATTGTTTGGGAAATGTTAACTCTATTTGAACGTAATAGGGTTGTGTGGAATATTGAAACCATCACATACTTTTGTTGGGTTTCATAGGTGCCTGTTAAATAAAGATTTCATTTCATGCTGTGGGGATTGGATTACGAAACATTTATTATAATCCTTTTTTTTATTCTTTCAATTGCATTATTAATATTCTAAGTCTGCGATGAGAGAAGGAATTGCTGTACTAGATTTGGTAATCTTTATTCCTGAGAAGAGTTATACTAAAATTTTCGATTATTGACTCTGCCACACTACAATGTTTGGTACGACTCTCAACAGATGGAGTCATGTGAGAGAGCACTATTATCAGATAATGCTATGCACATTGTAATGATACACAAATGTAGATAACCTAATTTGAACTTCTGTGCATGGTCATTGCCCACAACAGTCAATTTAGGACCCATGTGCGAACAGTTAGAGATACAATTTATTTGGCGCATTCAAATTGCATGACCACGTTTTAGTCCTTTGGTCTGCGTAAATTCTGTACCGGAATTATGAACGCTTCGGGTACGAATACCGTAATACCATTTAGACTCAAATACCGGAATCCGACGTAATTCGGAAGTTTTCCTGAACGCACAACGCTGAGGGAAGTATGAAAATGCTTAAAATGATCGTTGCCTTTCCAGTATTTCATTTTTGGTGCTAAAACATCATTCTTTAGAACGAGTTATGAAACCAACAATTTGGCTTTTATGTTTCGGTTCTTGTACAAAGAAGATAAACCAATTACTTAATAAATTTTATCTTTTAATCTGCCCGATGGCTTATCTTGAAATCTCAAATTCATCAATCAAGCCTGTACAAACGCTTGAAATAATGAAGGATACTTTATGAAATAATCAAGACCAGAGCACTACATTTATCATCGAGAAAAGGATTACAATAATAAAAGAAATGAAAGAAATAATCCTTACATGACACAAGGAGAGGTGGGCAAAAATAATTTACAATCAATTTTCGAACCACATCTAGACTGTGTTTTGTTTCGAATGACGCAAAACTTTGTAATCCTCTATGGTGCAATGTTATCACTGCAAATAATCTACAATTTCCATTTCAATTTCATTCCACAAAAGTGCTATATACAAAGGTGTATGGAGAATTTTAGGGAGCAGCTCAGAGCGTCATTTACGGTTATTAAAAACCCCCGAAGACTATTTCGGAATGGGATCCTAAAACCTCGTACGTGTTCAGAGTTTGGCGCAAAACTTGCGAGTGGATCGCATTTTCGTGACGACGAATCATTTGAATTTCAATGCAGAGAGAAAATTTCGCGGTGGATTAAACATTAAATTTATGTCGCGGGAAATGTAGGTGATAGGGTCACCATGCTAGTTTGATTCTAATAAAAAAATATAGCTTCTCTTTGTTTTTCGTTTGTTCTGGATTGGATGGTCCTAAAATACATGTATATGGTGTGGATTTGAGAGAAAATATGACCATCTTGTAATAAGAGCAAGATAAGCAATCTAAAAATTAAAATCTTGAAATTATGTAGTGCAGGAAAAAATAGTAACCTATGTTAAGATAATGTCAAGAAGAAATAAACATACTTCTATTTATAGACACACAATCTATTTCAAATTAGCTACCGCACACAACAACGGATGAACACAAAAACGATACGAAACAAAAACAGCAAATTCAGGAAAGTCTTGCTAATCGCTCACAGCTTTACACTCGGGTACTGGCCAAAAAACATAGCTAGGTGGAAAAAGTATTTCGTATGCGCAGAGGCGCACCACCGCATTTGTGACAAAAGGCTCTGACGTCTACCTACGGCCAGACGGAGGGAATATACGGCTGCCTCGTAATAAGCGAGAACAAGACTCCTACTTTTTTTGGACATAACCGTGTGTGCCTTTAATGCGGCTTTCGTTTGACAGGGTTTTATTGGAGTGGCACGGATTAAGGAATAGCCCCACTAATTAGTTACTAGTTCTGGTAGTCCCTTTTTAAAGGAGGATTTGAAGGTGACACAAAATATTGACATGTTGCCGAAAAAGAATATAACTGCTAGTGCACAGCTCAGAAGTAAAAAAAAATAATCCTTACTTTTGGTACTTAACACCCTTTTGATGTACATTTTGTAAAGATATTTTTCTAAAAGGAGATCTACAAATCATTTATTGTAAATTATGATTCTCTACTATAAAAAAAATGAAATAACTTTTCAGACGAAGATTTTGCAGCGTTACTTTTATTGCAACGCAACACAAAAATCACCGCAGAATCGCAACATCATTACCACCATTCACGTTCCAATTAGTCACATCCGTGGGTTCCGTAATAAAAGACATTTCATTTATTTTTAATACCAACCGCAGCCATTCAAAAAATGTCCCTGTCCGGTCAACTGCTAAAATGAATGTGAACCTCCCCAGACAAGGACAAAAGTCTTTTTGAAAATTAGCTCACTGGAGCTTGGGGAGATTTTAACTGAAATTATAAATCAAGTTTTTGTGCCCACCCTCAATTTACGAGTGTAACGCTTGCCTGACGAAATTTGGATTAAAATGCCTTGTTTATACATCCCTGTTGTCACTTTACCGTAACAAAGGAGGGGAATAAATTTATCAGGAATGGGAAACTGTGGAGCCTGTGTTGGTGACGACCTTTTGATGGCATTCCTTCAAAAATAGGTCACGACGTTCTTGATACACCATCTCTTATTAACTCCGTCCGCGGATTTTGTTTATATTCGATGCAACTTTGAATCCTTAAAGTATCATCGATACTTGCGAATTTAGTAGAATTTGCTCATATTCAGAATAAATAGGTTACTGTAATCAATGTCATTACCTATACACAGTTCTGTGGGCACAAATATAATTCAGGACGTGCTTTTATTTTATATATTCCTGCTCTAAGAAGAAGTCAAGAAGCGCTGACTTTGTATTTATTTACATGTTAATTTCCTTACAAAAGAAACATTACAATGCACAGCGTCTCTTAGCCTTAACCATTTGAATGTTAATAAGTTCAGAGACGCAAATCGGATTTGTAAGCACTCTTTTTATTCGTTGCTAGACTCTTTGGATGAATAAGAAAATAGAGCTACAAAGACATTAACTGGACTTACCTTGAGCGGGTGCGTAGATATTCAAATACAAACAATCTTCTGACTGATTCGTGAGGAATGGGAGTATTCTTTTCAAGTACTCCAATCGACCTTTTGATATTCTTTTTAAGACCGCAGTCTCATTTCTTATGTCAGGAAGTACTTGAGGACATACTGGACTGAATTCTTCTGCAATTTTCACTCCTGACCATTGCGCGCCGGAAACTGGAGGCATGAATCTCAGAGAGCCTACAGGAGGCGATGCATAAGGCACTCCTCTGAAGACTTCGACCGGTTCTAAGAACCTTGATTCTGGAGTAACTATGAACCCTCTGAGATCACCATACTTGGTCCTCACTACTCGGGAACTGATGAGCGGTTGCGGTTGTTTCTCGTCCATTGTTGTTTCGCCTCTGACGAGCCTGGATGTTAGCACTGGCAGGGTAATGAAGTGTATGATCATCAGAACTAACATCTTTCCGCTTCCACCGCCACCGTCCGAGTAAATGTCTCCGGCCGCTGACTGCTATAAGTCGACCATTTTGTAGTTTTGGTACGGTTCTGTAGATCATTTACTGGTTTATCTGAAACAAAGAATAGAGATAATTAGCACTTCAATTTTATCATCACATATTCTAAAATATTTTCTTGTGGTATCATAAAGATATATTTTAATGCCGTCACATATTTTAACGAAGTACCATGAACCACTGAGTTATTGCTGATCATTACAGAATAATCTCTCTGATTTTCTCAAGATAAACAAAACAAGGCTTTGTGACGAACAAAAGACACGCTCATGAGATACTATATTTCATTACAATAATTTTCAATACGACGTCATGTATATACACGTACGAACGTATACATATATACACTACACAGATAAATACCAAAGGTTAAGATACTTTATCTTGTTCAGCTTAACAAACAGTCTTGTATTATGGATCTTGACAATTAATGAATGTACTAATTTATGTATTATTATTTTTTAGTGATTCGTATGGTAGTTCGCCATGCTGCACCACACAGTTTTGCTTACAACAAAATATTATTAAGTAGGTCTTTTGATTTTAGAATTATCATTAACTACATCGACGACGATCTTAATTTTCCTTTAGACCATGTGCACTGAAATAAAATGAAATTTACTTTGAAGTTTATGAAATTATATTACTTATTATTTTTCATCTATCACCTGTATAATAATAGATTTGAATGCCTAATTGAGACCTTTTTGGACACAGATAAGAAGTAAGACTTCTGTCTCCTATACATTACAACAAGTCGCTAAGTCACGTCCCTCGCTCGCGGCGCTCATTATTAGAACATGTTCAATCAAAACTGAAACACGTCTTTAATCATATTCGCCTTAGAATTCAGCTTTATTATACAAAATAGTACATAGTTTAATAGAATTCATTTTGTTATAAGTTCGTGTGTGTCAAAGCGGCAACATTTGGAATTGCGTCTTCGTTGGAATTGTGATTGTAATGTCAGTTTGAAATTGTGGAACACAAAGGATTAGTCAAATAATTATGTTAGTAGTATTAGTTTATTATTGAAATACAATTCTAAAGGGTAAACTTATTGAACCGTATGTGAATTGTTGGAACACAAATATTTCTGTGATATGACTTAATGAAGCTATATGGAAGCTAACCAAGTTAGTTTAAACTATAGACGTCTTTTTTTTACAGTATTAAAAAATACGATTGCCATCGTAATTTTTTGATTGATTGTAATGATCGTGTTTTTTTTGTGAGGGGAAAATCATCAAATGACTTCTCCCGCCCAGGGCCGGGCAAGAGGGAGTGTCAGACTCTTACTGACTAAAAACCCCCTGTTCCTTCTCCTGCTCTGTGCCGAGGTCGCGGTACCTCATTGCGCTTACCCCGCAACCCCGGCTGGGTAATGATCGTGTGACCTCATGATTCAATACCTTTTACACTAAGCGATGAACAACATGGTCTATTCGTATTTTTTTTTATGTACACACAAAACACAGCGCCCTTATGGATGCAGTTTCAAAAACAGCTAAGCTAAGTTCACATCGGATCCAAAACAATTTCCGTTTGCTTTAATTCTGGACACAGCGAGCACAATGGTCTATTCCTATTTTCAATCTCCTATTTATCTTCGCATTCCCACCAAAACATTTTTGTTAACCCTATCCATGCTGATCAGATGCCACGTACCCTGAGTTATTGTCACAATAAATACGGACGGGATAAACAAACCGAGAGCTAAACATGCAAACAGGAGTCGTAAACTGTCCCCTCTCAAAGGAATGGTTTCCTTACTGAACATAAAATGCGTGATATGTAATTCTTTGAATATTTATCGAGACTGGACATACAGACCAATAGTTCGGGCCTTGTAATAAAATTCCGTGCATGATGAATGATTTATGTTCGGGATCATGTGCGATGGTAGTTATGTAGGGTCATATTCGAAAGTGGAGTGAAATAGACATAATAATTTGTGATTGGTAATCTGATATGATAGAGTCAACGTATTAGTAAAGCATTTTTTGATGATAATTGGTAAATTGGCGCTGTATGATACGTAAATCGAATTTTTTTTTTCGTGAGGGGAAGTTCATCAAATGACTTCTTTGGCTCAAGGTGGGACTCAGATTTATACTGACTAAGAACTCAACCGCCTTTCATTTCCTGCTTTAGGCCTAACCTGCGGTATTTCAATGCGTTTGCCGCACAGCACCCGTTAAAAGTCGACCTTGTTGGGCCCAATAAGTTGTGGTCGCTTCGCGTCTTACGCTACGATCGTCCCCAATATTGATGACGTGATTAGATTTCAGCCAAATACCATATTGCGGTTTCCAGCAGAAGTAGGAACAGTATAGTTCACTGTCAATCTAACTCCTTCTTGCCTACGGCGTAGGCTGGGAAAAGCCGTTTGATAACATTCTTATTGTACAGTATGAAGCCTCTACAAAAAAGGTACAGTAAAAAAAATAACAAACAAGATGGATCAATTTCGATTACATCTAAAAATAGAACACGCAACGTATTTTCGCGCAAAATAAAAAGTCAATATCCCGAATATTTTTACTGAGGCGTGATTAAGAAAGTCTCACAGTCTCACGTTACAGGAACGACAATGTATTGTAAACACGACCTTACTTTTGAAGCGTATCGGAGCCTTTTGTCCCGGATCGGACAATGTGCCCGGTTTACACCAAACGATAAGTCGCCAGGCACAATAGCCTGCCACGATATAGATACCTTCAGGGAACATACTCACACATCCAGACACTGTTTTGTAAATAAAAATACTATGTTCAATCGTTCTTCTTGGTTTTCTTCAATGTAATCAGAGCTAGAGCCACTTCACTTCTTCGTTGATAGCGCTTTTTTTCTCACAAGATGGCGACTCTTATGAAGTGGAATAAAAATTTTGCTAACGTCAAACCATAGCACCATCACAATATTAAACAAATTGAACAAAGTAACAAAATCATCAATTCTTATAATCAGTAGGAAGTCTCAGTAATATCAGCTATAATTAAAATTATGTTTAAAAAAAAATTAAATATTAAATTCACAAATCGAGATCGAAATGCCACTTAAGGACAAAATGTAAGTCGGTATCCTTATAAAGTGTTCAAATTGTTCGATACCTAAACTACATTGGTCCACGTAAGCTCATTCCACAAACCAGCTTACCTACCTCCAAACGACGATATTCGCTTCCATTTCGTTATTTGCAATCAAGTTCGCCGAAACGTTTAGCTATCGGAAATACGATTTTATTGAATGCGACTGGACCGTTTACAGGAAGTTTGTGCTCATCGTCGTTCACAGAAATATGTGTGTGCAATGTGCATCTGTGCATGAGTATACTAATAACTCGTAAATTCATTTTTATGGATCAAGAGCGCTTCTTCGATTAAGCCATCGCTTTTTGCAATGGTGGCGCCACTGGCGAATTAAATCCTGTCAGTTTTATTTTTGTTGTTTTATTTTTTGCGTGTATTCTGTTGGTATTATTATTTAACAGACTGTGCATTGGAATAGTACTTGGTGACACGGCGTGGTAAATGCACATTATATCGGGACTACTGACCCGCTGGTTCGCACAAGAAACATGCCAGTGCTTAATCGGGGTTACAAGGACCAGCACAATGACGTTTTCGAGACTAGACATGTAACAAGCAGGTTTTAAGTCAGTTGATGATAGTCTGTCTCGCCCCATCCAGAACGAACGAACTCATAAAAGGCAGTGATAGAGGGAGATAGAAGAGGAATAGAGTGGTATAGCAGTAATGTTATCCTATGGTACGTTATCCTTGTTATTATAGTTTCCTTTCTTAACCAACTTTCGTGGATAACAAAAGAAACATACAATAAACTATTTCCTTAGCGAATTAATTAATGCAAAGTTTTCGTTGATCAATCAATCACACTGAATGATCGGACTAGCGTTCGGTTGGCAGGGTTGTGTGGTTTTTTTTTGAAATACAATACTTACGTGTAGCTTGTAATATCACATATGTAACTTTAACTATTTTGTTCATTCTATTATAGGTGTTAAAGAATATGGGTAATTGTTTATATTCATAAAGACGGTCTCATAACTGTCAAATTTTTGAGACGCAATCTGTAAAATGGCTGAAGATTGAGTTCATTAGCGTGCTATAAGAATACCAAGTCGACCAGATAGACGAGTGCTAAGTCCCTAAAAGGCGTATACCAAGCTAATAGGCAATAGGCTGATGAAGATGATAAAATGTACAATAAGGCATCAATCCCAAGACAACATGGAGATGAACTTAATTTTCCATAGTATGGGGGATGTAGTAGCGCTCTGTCTGGTTGGTTATAGTCTAGGTAAAGCTTTATTGAGGGGTATGTCATTAAATGACTTCTTGCGCCCTTGGTGGGACAATGGCAAATAGATGCAAACTGATTAGATTTTTTAGATGGATTAGAAAAAAAAAAAAAAAACATCCCGGTCCTGCTCCGGACCGAGGGGTACGATAGTATTTATTTTGGAGTATTATATATTTTTTTCTAGCTTGGAATTAAAATCGAAACGAATTATATATTGAGGAAGAATTATCTGTAAATTGGTTGAAAGTTATGGAGACAGATAGAATGAACTTGTTTGCTAACTTAATGATGTCCAGCCCTCTTTGCAAGTGATTAAGGTCACAGTTAATTGAGGATAATGACTTGTTTTTATCGTTCCAACTACATATTCAAGCTTTCATTCCGAAATTGCAAGTATCAACATTTTTACAGTCCTTTAATTTCCCTGATCTCGAAATCTTTTTAGGGCCCAAAAACGTACATATTAGGTTTCGGGTGTTGCGGGCTGCTATGGACGGCGCCGATTACTTACCGAGTATCTCCTGCGAAAGCTAGGGCGTGAGAACACGATGGTGCTCAGCCCAAGCGGGGTATATCTTCTGGGTTAAATTCCACTGCGACTTACAGGTGATCCCCACAATGAAGACCGGTGGGAAAAGAAGCAATTACTTTG